GGGGGGGGGGGGGGAGGGGTTTGGGTCGGCGAAGGGGCTGAGGGCGTGGGCGGCGGAACTAGAGGAGAAGTTGGCTGCTCGACCCAGCGCCGGGCCATGCAGGCAGCTGTACCACACGTCCTGCAAGGTTCTGACACGACGCCCGCCAAGTGAAAGCCTCGAAGTCCGCGCCTTTCGGGGGGCGCTAGGGAGCGCGTCGCCCGGCCCGCACCAAACGCCCGCATCAAACGCGCTCGGCATCCCATCCGCGGAGCCGGTGCCGGCGTCAGCAGCGGCTCCCTGAGGCGCGCACGTGTAGTGTTTGTAGTATCTCTGGTTTTGATGAGGTTTCTGATTGCCGCCTTGCTGCGCAGGGCAAAACTCCGGACGAGGGACGCTGCCTCACCCCGGTGCTTCCGCAGCCCACCGCACCCGCTTGAAAATGGCTACGCAAACTCTAAAATTAATTACAAGGCCTAAAAACACCGCTCAGGGCCCCGAGAACGACTAGTGACTCGGGTCCTGCGCCTGCCGAAATCGAGTTGCCTTGATGAGACGGCGAACAATGGATGCGATGAGCGACTGCGGAAGTGCGGAGCGTGTGCGACACCGGGAAACACCAAGGGTCACCCACTCGGGCTCGGGCACACAGTTGCAGGCACTGCAGCCACCTCCTCCTCAAGCGGAATGCTATAATACCGATAACATTCGATAAAGGCCGCGTGGCCTGCGGCCCACGGCGCTCCCGAATTGCGATGACGGCGAACACAACACCTGCCGTTGCATCCAGCATGCATGACAGCTGCAGCTGCACCACATCAGCACCGTTACATCAGGCTCAACACAAGGGACAGCAGTGACAATGATCTAGCAATACGTGAAGGGGTCGCTGCGGACCGCCTGGAACGCAGTCAGCTGGCCAGCATGCAACGTCGCCAGGCCAGTGGCAACATCCTTGGCCAGAATTGTGAGAACAGGCAACTTCTCAGGGTCCTGCACAGCCTGGAACACATCTTGCCGGAACGCGTCTGCCAGCCACACGCATAAGGCAGGCACACAACGCAGCGTGCTGTGCCTGCGACAACCTCGCCCTGAACGCGGCCTACTGCTGCGCCCATCAATGAATGTTCATTGTTGTGTCCTCAAAGATGCCATCGATGGGCAGTGGTGCCCAGCACGTGACGCCTGGCCAGTGGCCACATGCCATACCGTATTGGCCATGGCACCGGCAACCTTGGGATGCAGGGGCAGCAGCTACGCGCCGGTACTGCAGTTGGCACCAAGCTCCCCCTTGCTTTTTATGTGGGCAAGGGTAAAGAGGGCAAGGGTAAAGAGGGCATCCCGCGACCGCGCAAGCAATGATAGCACGATAAGTCCGTCAACGCCGGCATCAGGGCAAACTCACGGGACAGGCAGCACCGCACAAGTGGGAGTGAGCCTTGCGCATACCCCAACCAAGCCTCACCAGATTGGGTGTTTGCCGCCAGCACCACAAACGCCCCGCTTTGCACCAGCGCGGCGTTAACCCCATTGGAATCCCGCAGCTTGAGCTGGATGGTGCGGTTGGGCACACCACCCAGCAGTGCAGGCGCAGTTGGCAACTTGTTGCGCCGCTTGCGCTGGGCTCGTAAGCCGCCGTCAGCGTACGGTGTGACAGCTGCGGTCGCCACCCCCTGCACGCAGCTGCGAGCTGTGCCGACCAAGTCTGCCCCGGCTTGCTGCTCTGCTCCGTCCTCCACTCCCAATGGGAGCCAAGCTGTCTTCAGCCGAAAGCGGGAGCCCACCCGCCAAAGACTGCCCCTACAGCGACTCCAGGTACCGCACGTAGTCCTCGCCGCCGTCCACCTGCAGCCGCCTCAAGCGTGGCAGCAGCGTGTCTGCTAGGGTCACCGTCCCGTGCGCATGGATTGCGCTACGCCGCTGGCCTCGTGCTGGAACGCAGACCCGTTGACGCGGCTAAGCAGACAGTTGGGGTTCACCTGGCGCTGCTGCGCCACGTGCCAACCCAAGCAGACGCAGACGACTGTGCGCACCGTGCAGTGAAACATTGTCGCCGCCGCGACGCTGTTGCGCACTGCCAGCTCCCAGAGCGCCGTGGGTGGCAGGCGGCGGGCGCGCGCGTCAGGCGCACCCTCAGGCGTGATGCGTGCGTACTCGGCGCCCGCCAGGCTGGCAGCAATCCAAGACCGCAGCTCGCTGGCGTTCACGTTGACCATTGCGCCAAACATGCCGACTGCTTGTAATATGGCAAACCCCCGGCTGCGCAGCAACCTGATAGAACCCGGGCTGCCCACCACATGGCTGCTGGCTGCCTAAATCGATTGATACAGGGCGCGGACCTGCGGCGAGGCCTCGGACAGCTAGCGCGCAAGCTCGCCTCCGAGCACGCCGTTTTGCAGCAACTTTGCCCGTCCTATTCAGCCCAGTCCTTGCAACGCGCCTCGCGGGCCGCGGGGCTTGCACGCGAGTGGAGAAACCTGGCCTATTGCCGCGTGTCGCTGCATGACGTTCTGAAGGGCCAGCACGAAACGCAAGTCCCTTGCACGGCGCCGGTCGCTGCGGCGCAACAGCGCTGCCGCCCAGGCGCGCTACCTACTCGCAGGCGGCGGCGTGCCTACGTGGCGGCCGCGGCGGGCACATGCCTGTTGGGAACAGGAAGATGTCTGGGAACGCGCGCCATGCCCTGTCGTAGTCGCTGGGCGGGCGGCCCTGTCATGCTGCTGCTGAGGCCAAGGCGCCGCGGTTTCTGAGCAACGCAGCTGCTTCCCGCAGCGCCTGCGCAGCCTCGCGCACGAGCTCGTCTTGCCCCTTGTGCCCCGTTTTCAATGGCAATGTCATGGAGCTCTGCCCCACACTACTTTGTCGCGGGCTGCTGGTGGGCGGCTGCACAAATGAAGACACAGCGACGCGCCTGTGCGTCGTTGGCCGTGTCCAGCACCTTCCAGCTGCGGTGAGGCTCCCGGCGGCTGCTCGGCTCCTTTGCAGTAATTGCCAAGGTGCATGCCGGTAAGCATGGGCAAGTGAGCTAAAATTGCTCAGCAAAACACTGCAGGGCAAAGCAGCGTGGTGGTGGACACTGCATGACCAGACAACTGGCAACCCAATAAACACACAAGAAGGGGCGAGTGTAGCCTAAGCCGCAGCCACAGCCGCCGTGTACGCCAACAGCCACTGCAGCTCGCCTGCGCAAGGCATTGCACACACCTCATCCCCCTCACCCGCAGCCAGCCGTGGTGCGCCTTTGACCCCGCCGGCGATGCTGCGTGCTGCACACTCGTGCGCAGGCAGCTCCATTACATGGGACATATTTGTTTGCATCAAGGTTGCCATGGAGGTGAAATAACGTCTTGCGGCAGATCAAGTGATGGTGTGATGCACCGCCTGCTAAGCCCCATAACGGGGTTGCGCACGCATAGCGCACCCCTGCCACCCAGCACCAACCAAGCCGACAGCTCATTATGCACACATACAGGCGGTAAGCAGTAGCGCCTGCCGTCATGCGGCACAAATGCATGACCACTGCGAGGTATCTGTGCTGTTGCAGGCTGCGCTGCGTCAAAAAGCGCCAGACCTGGCAGCGATGCCAAAGGCATGCAATTCAAAGCACCAAGCGGCTGGAGCTGGTCGCAGACTGTGCAGCAGAACCGATGAACCGCGGCCCACAGCTCGTGCCGCACGCTGTGCGTCACGCATGCACCACGAGTCGGCCTGCCTGGTGAATGGGGCGTCAAGTGCAGCTGCCTGCATGCAAAAGGCTTTGCCAGATCATGTGCGGCAACGCTGCAGCACGCACTCAGCTTCCGGCAAGTCTGGGTCGCCTGCGCAGCTGCTTCGGCAGTCCTTGTGGCGACTGCTGTCGCTGCCAGCTGCGCTGCACCCAAGGGACCATCACTGCATGCTGGTGCAACACGGCTCTGCTGCCTCCGTTGCTGCTGGCGATCATCACACTCCTGCAACGCGCGCTTGCTGGCCCGCAGCGCAGTCTGCTGCTCTGCTAGCTGCTGGTGATCAGCGTGTGCCTGCAAGGGCACTTGGCACCCGCCAGTCGCACAACAGCACGCTGCGCACCGCTGACGGGAACAACCCTGGTGCAACGGAACGCCGCAGTGTACGCCCACAACAGACAGTGTGCATCCATGCAACTGGGCCGGCAGCGCAGCATGAGCTGTTTATGCGCGGCACTCGCTGCATCTGCTGCACGCGTAGCGTGTGCTGCGCATCCGCGCCAGCTGCACCACAGCAGCGAGCGCACCATTGGCGCTAATAAGTGCGGACAATCCGTACAAGAGACCACACCGCGGGCCCGTCCGCGTTGTACCAGTACCAGAATAACCACCAGAGGCCAAGCCAATGCAATGGACCCACAACAAAAAAGGAGAGCTGATAAGCAATAACGCAGGCTTGCGTTCGAGAAGCAGCAAGGCAACCGCATGCAGCGATGCTGACACACCCCTCTACCCCAGCGCACTCGTTCAAGCGTCAGACACCCTACCTCCAGCTGAAATAGAACTCTAAAATTCATTCAAGCTTGAAGACATTGGAGGGCTGCGCTCAGCGGGCTCGTACAGTACGAGTGACACGAGTGACCTCGCTTACTAAGAGCCCCCTGCCCCCGCTCCAGATCGGTGTCCCTCATTGCTGTCGCAATTCGGGAAGATCGTGCTAAGCGTCAATGTGCTGATTGTATCGCTGTTGCAACCGCTGTCGCCAAGCACCTGTGCCCAATGCGGGCTGCCACTGCCGGGCCACAGCCCACTGTGGCCGCCTGCCCTGCCGGCAGCACCCTGCTCAACGTGGCCATGCGTCCCAGCCAATTGACCGGCCCCTCATCCAAAAGGATTGAAGCGATGGCCGTGCAATTTGCGGCTTTGCACGCAGCATACGATTCAGGGGACATGTGCCTGGCGCAGGGGCTGCCTTTACTAGCCACCTGCAATTGCTGCGCTCGCACACGAGTGACCACGCCAGGCCGATCACACGGTCCAACGGCAACGCTTAGGCAGCGTTGACAGACGACCCGTGCATTTTACAGCCTGCACGCACGACAGCACACCAAAGCGCGCTCAAGAGGCCCCAGGTGCCTCGCAAGGGCCCGAGTGCATGCACTGCACAGCGGCACCCCCGGGGTCCCCCAATCTCACGGGATGGGGATCGTCGTCCCCCGCACCGCGTGCGCGCCCTGCGCCCGCTGCCGCCCCGCCTCCTTCTTGAACAGGCCCTTGAGCTGCTTCTTGTTGGCCCGCGCCTCCCGCTGCGCCTCCTTTATCGCCGCCTTGCGCGCGCGCCGCTCGTCGGCCGTCTCCCCCTTCGGCCGCGCCGCGCCCGCGTCCGCCGGCGCCCCGTCAGACTCTTCCTCGCCCTCCCCCTCGTCCCCTCCATCCTCCGCCTCGCTTGCCTCCTCCACGCGCCCCTGGCGGCCATTAACATTGACCCCCGACGGCAGCCCCGTCCGCGCGTTGAGCTTTATGAGCCCCGCCGCGCCGCCGCCGGGCTGCTGCTGCTTCTGCTGCTGCTGCTCCCCGCCCGCGCGGCTGCGCGCGGGCTCGCTGGCTATCCGCGCCGGCGCGTAGCTCATGTTGCTGCGAACCATGAGAATGCTCTCGCAGTCCCACTGCTCCCGCCGCACCGCCGCCGCCGCCTCCTCCACCG